TCACAGCAACCTCAAACTTTTGGGCTCAAGGAATCCTCTTGCCTCAGCCTTCCAAGTAGCTGTGACTATAGACACCCACCACAACACTTAGCTATTTTTAGAGATGTGGGGTCTTGGTCTTGCTCAAGCTGGTCCCAAACTCAAGCTCAAGCAATCCACCCATCCTGGCCTCCCAGATAGCTAGGAGTATAAGCATGAACCACTGCACCTGGCTGCAATGTATTTTCTAAAATGAATACAAAATGTTTTCAGATACAAATTTTAACAAAATGTTTATGCCTGGCAATGTGGCTCATGCCTGAATCCTAGCCCTCTGGAGGCCAAGGTGGGTAGATTGTTGGGAGCTCAGAAGTTCAAGAGCAGCCTGAGCAAGAGTGAGACCCCGCCTCTACTAAAAATAGGAAAACTAGCTAGGTACGTGGCAAGTACCAGTAGTCCCAGCTTCTGAGGAGGCTGAGCAAGAGGATCTCTTGAGCCCACGAGTTTGAAGTTGCTGTGAATTATGATGATGCCCAGCACTCTCCTTAGGGCAACAGAGGCAGACTCTGTCTCAAAAAAAAAAAAAAAAAAAAAAAATGTTTATGACTATGTGTAAGGCAAACAGACAGAGGGAAAAAGCTGCTTCCACTGAAGAGTCTGAGAGTTTCTTTATTACTCCCTTTAACCCCCTTGGTTAAAATGCCTCTCAAGGGTTAGAAACACCCTTATTGAAAAGCAGCAGTGAAGCCAGCCCCAGGGAAACCCCCTTCCTATGAACCCCACACGCTGTCCAGGCCGGTTCATAAAGGATCCCAAAGGCCAGTGTAATTCTTCACCTTTCCAGATGGCCCTGATCACACCCTTCATTCCAAATGCCTTTAATAAACACTGGTGTGAGTCCCATTCTCAAGCATTCACAACTGTCAAACCTGTAATAACAACACAATCATGGCTGCAATACAGCAGGGTCAATGTCCAGGTGAGCGCAAGGCTCTGTGAGTCTGTAAGGAGGGACCCAACCTAGACTGGGGGTGATAGGTGGTGCATAGTCAGAGAAGTCTTCCCTGAGCCTTTAAGAAGAAATCACCAAAGTTCAGAAGCTTTGTGTATGGGTTTTTTTTTGAGACAGAGTCTCACTATGTCACCCTTGGTAGAGTTGCCATGGCATCACAGCTCACAGCAACCTCAAACTCCTGGGCTTAAGCGATTCTCTTGTCTCAGCCTCCCAAGTAGCCAGGACCACAGGTGCCTGCCACAAAGCCCAGCTATTTTTTTTTTTTTTTTGGTTGTTGTCATTGTTGTTTAGCTGGTCTGTGCCAGATTCCAACCCCCCAGCCTTGTTGTATGTGGCTGGCACCGTAACCACAGTGCTACGGGAGCCGAGCCAGGAGCTTTGTGTATGTTATGGTATGAATGTTTGTGTCCTCCATAGTCCCCAGGCATTTGGGAGGTCATAAGAGTAGTGGCCTCATGAATGGCATTGCAGCAGTTCTCAACCTGTCGCAACCCACAGGAAGGCTCAAGGCATTAGGAAGGTTGAGAACCACTGGGTTAGAGCCCTTTATAAGAAGAGACACAGAGAAATGGTCTCCCTCTCTCTCTGCCAAGTGAGAGTACAGCAAGAAGACAGCTATCTACAAACCAGGCAGAGGCCGTCACCAAGCACCAACCATGCTGGCACCCTGATTCAGGACTTCCAACCTCCAGAATTGTAAAAATTAAATTTCCGTTGTTTAAGACACCCAGTCTACAGTACTTTCGTTATGGTAACCTGAACTAAGACAGTGTACAAAGGCATAAAAGATAGCAGAGTATGTTCGGAAAAACACAAGTAGGCAGCTTAAGGGTGAAGAGATTTCATTTCTCACTCATTGCTAGGTTCATGGCTCAAACTCCTATAACAAGAAACTGATTAACAAGAGAAACACATACTAATTTACTTAATGTAAATTTTACATGGCAAAGGAGCCTTCAGAAATAAAGACCCAAAGAAACAGTGACCCTTGTGTATTTTTATGCTGCGTTTGATAGAGAGTGGAATCATGTAGAAGTATGACTGGATGAAGGGAGTTCGATCTTATGGCAATAAACTGGGGGGGGGGGGTCTTTTATCAATGCCTGTTGGTTCAGACTGTTCTCTGTGTGCCTCTTACATCTTCAGAGACAAGAGCATTCCTTTTCTCCATACATAGGGTGGGCACCGCTCACATCAGGGTCTTATATTGAGGAAGATCAGAAAATTCTTTCATGGACTGCATAACAAGAGTGAGGAGTATGAAAAGGTCAGAGAGTAACTTCTTGCTTCTGCAGTTTCCTCTAATGTCACATTTCATATGTCCTAAATACCATCAATAATCTGGTATGGATAAACATGGGAAAGAGTCTAGGACAGGGGTTCTCAACCTTAAGTACATAACGTGTTGAAAGGCACTGAACTTGTTAATAACACAGATTCTTGGGTACTCCCTGCCTTCTCCAAGAGTCTCATTTGTTCTGGAATTGAGTTGTCAACTTCATTTTTAAAAGTATTCTCTCTGAGAATATATATAATGAAAGTCAGTACCATAACTGACTTTCAGAAACAGTGGTTTAGACATAAAGGACGGGAAGAAGGAATTAAAAAACACCTTGAATCCACACTAAGGATGTTGTATATTATCTTGAGGACAATGAAAACTTTTGATGAGATTTAAGCAGGTGAGTGACATAATCATACTGGATGTGCAAAAAGAGCATTTTACAGTAAAATGGAAAAAGATGTGGTGGAAACTGAAACTAAAGCTAAAGAGAGCCATTAGGAAGTTATTTCCATAATCTCTAGGCACCTAAATGAACAACTGCGACAGAGAAGAATGATTTGGAGATGTTTAGAAAATAGAAATCGGCAACACTTGGTGATCAATTGTTTGTAGGAGGTAAGAGAGGAGGAACCAAGCCAGGTTTTCTACTTGGGTGACTAGTTAAATAATGATTTCCATCATTTAGATGTGAATTTAGGTTTGAGGAAAAAAGGTACTGTGTGCAATTCAGGAGATACTGAGTTTGCCATGCCTATAGGGCATCCAAGTGGAAATCCAAGCGGTGGATGTAGATTTAGTAGTCTAAAGCCAGGAGAAATTGTCAGAGCAGAAGAGATAGATCAGAGGACTCATCAGTGTGAAGGTCAAGTTTGAGTGCAGATAAAATCAAGGGAAGAGTAGGATGAAAGGCATGCCAATAGCGGGTTAAAGAATAATCTAAAAGTTGGTAAGTCTGTTTAAGGGCCATCCCCATCTCAATGGAACTCTCTTTCTGTCACAAGTGAATGATTTGTGTCTTATAAAAATAACGGGAAAACATTCAGGTACACTAGTACAGTGGAAAGAGCATTCGTCCACAGGTCTGGAACTAGATTCTATTCCCAGCTTCGTCATGTAACTGGCAGTGAGAACCTGGGTAAGTCATTTAACTTCTGCCTCTATTTCTTAACTAGTAAGAAGATGCACCACCTGCTCTGATTACCTCCTTTGGCTATGAAGTTCACCTGTGATAGGATTGTTACCTTACTTTGTAAATTTTTCTCAAAGTATTTAAGTTAACATCACAATATGCAATACATTAGTTAACAATGTATATTCCCTTCTAAGTCGCCAGTAGAATACTCATTTTCCAATTTCAATAAAGCCTAAATTTGTTATGTTCAGAGTAATATATCTTAAGAGTAGTTTATTCCCCCCCCCCCCGGAAAAAAAAAAACTTCCAGGTTCTAATCATTTTCAACGCTTCAGACGTATAAGGAGGGGGGTTTTCTCACTACAAGGTGAACATGGGCATTTGCAGCACCAGAACATGGTACAGCGCCCAGAATGAATGAACGAACTAACCCTTCAATGGATCACATCCTGGCCCCATTGGGCAAACAAGTCCGCTGACGCCCAACGAGCAAAGTTTGAGTGAGGGTCCGTCAAGTCAGGACAGCTAAGGGATTCGAACCCAGGATGCCTGACTCCCACACTGCTCAGGGACCAGGGACCCGCCGCGCCAGCTAGGCCCTCGCCCCTACCCTCCAGCGGTGCCCACGCCGTGGCCCCCGAGGCCCGGGTCCCCGCGGCCGCCCGCCCGGCGCGGCTCCCGCAGCTCCGCCCCACGCCCCACGCCCCGCCTGCGCCCGGTCCCAACGCCCCGCGCTCCGCCGCCCGCTCCGGCTCCGCCGCACTCACCAAGACCAGCCCTGATCGCCGCCCTGCTTTTCCTGTGTGCTCCCTCTAGAGTCCCCGGCAGGTTCAAGGGAAACCGCTGCCGCCGCCCGCGGGTTCCGTGTGGAGCTGCGAGCTCGCGGGCTGGCTCCACGCCCCGGGCTGCGGTCCTCAGTTTATCGGGTCATTCACCCTTCCTTCCATACATACTGGGCCCAGACATATTTTACAGAAAGCCTACCTGGCAGACAGTATTTTAGGACCTGGAACTAAACCGGAAAATAAATTAACTAAATAAACAACGCAATTTTAGGTAGTGGTAGTGCCACTAAGAAAATGAAATAGGGTGATAGGGAGTGAGGTGGGTGAAATTGAACAGGCTAAGCTAGGTCTTCCTGAGTGAGGGGTGATTAGTCTGAGACCTCAACGTCCAGAAGGAGCCTTCAAGCAAAGATGCAGGAAGGAGCAGCCTGGCGCAGGGAACAGCCTGTGCAAAAGTTCAGGACCCTGGGACAGTTTGGCCTGTCTGAGGCAGAAAGAGACAGTGGCCAAAGAAGCAAGCTGCGCAGGAAGGCAGAAGAGGCTGGTAGTAAGGAGTTAGGACATTCCATCAAATGGGGTTGAAAGGCATTGAGGGGATTCCGTGAGGGGGTGGTGTATCTGATTTACGTTTACGTTTCTCTGGCCACAGTGCCTGAGTGCAGTCTAGACAACAAGAGAGCTATAAAGAACAAACCAGGGCTCACCACCAGTTTAAACTGTGTGTTTGGCCCCCACATTGCTGTGGGGACATAGATTTCTTTCCTCCTTTATTCTTTCTAGCGTTCGGTCAACCAAGATTTATCAAGTGGGGAGCGTGTCCTAGGCCCTAAAGACTCAAAATAAACTTCTTTAAAATTACTATTGAAGACCACTCAGAAAAATAAGTGAGATAAAATTATTTTACAGAATTTTTTTTCCACTAACAATGGTAGTATCCAATGAGGTTATGCAGTAAAGCAATCTGTACACTAGCATGCTCTCCTGCTCACTGGGCCACACTGTGTAGGAACATGAACTTTCCAGCCCTCTCTCCTAAGTCTTGACCTGTAAACTAGAGAACTGAGAAGGTCATCGTTTTAAAAACTCTCTTTGCTCTAAAATGCTGTTACATTGAGGATGTGAGACACAGTTATTTTCAACTCTTCCTTCCCAACTACCTAAAATGTTTGTGTTTGGAAATGAGTTGCTGAGCTGCTGCCCCCTTTCCCTTACCTAACCCCGAAGACACCTGGTTTATTGATGGCAGTTCTTCTAAGCCCACTGATTACTTCCTGCCAAAGCAGGCTTTGCTATTGTGTCTTCTTTCCATTATTGCCTGTACTACTGTGCCCCCCAGCACCTCCTCACTAAAGCCTTACAACTTGCATAAGGCCACTCCACAAACATATACACAGATTCTAAGTATATGTTCCACATAATCCATCACCATGCAGCCATATGGCAAGACAGAGGATTCACTACCACCCAAGGCTCCTCTATTGTCAATGCCACACTCTTTAAAAACCTCCTGAATGTGGCCACTCTCCCAGAGGAAGTAGCCATCATCCACTGTAAAGGCCACCAGAATAAAACAGATCCAATTTCCAAGGCAACCAAAAAGCCAATACAGAAGCCAAATGGGCACCTCAATGCCCTTCCACCTGCTGCAACCTCAGTAGGCCAGTACTTATCCTTTGATAAATTCTCTCCGCAATTACCGGCACCTTCCCACACAGCAAGGATGATGCCTTCAACAGGGAAAATTTATTCTTCCTTCCTCCCAAGTACAGAATATCCTCTCTTCCCTCCACAGTAGCCTTCAGGTTAGCGTCAAGCCTCTTTACACCGTTCTTTCTCTGCTCCTTTCTCACCCACAACTATCTTCCCTTTTAAAACAGATAACCCAGTCTTGCCCAATCTACACCCGGGTCTCACCCCAGGGAGCCATAAAAAACACTCCCTTCTGGGAGGTGCTTGTGACTCAAAGGAGTAGGGCGCCAGCCCCATATGCCAAAGGTGGCGGGTTCAAACCCAGCCCAAGCCAAAAACTGCAAAAAAAAAAAAAAAAAAAAAAACCCTTTTCTCTTTTCCCACACATCAGGCCAGGGGCCAACCCCCCAGACAAGATTAGCAGATTGACTTCACCCACACGCCTCCTGTATAAGAATATAAACTTCTCCTAGTTTGGGTTGATACCTTCTCAGGGTGGGTTAAAGCCTTTCCCACAACAGGCGAGAAAACCCATGAAGTTTTCTCCACCCTCCTCCACCACATTATTCCCTAGATTCAGCCTCCCCAACTCTGTTCAGAGTGGCAAGGGCCCGGCTTTCATTAGCCAGATCACTTCCCAAACCTCATAAGCCCTAGGAATCCAGTGGCATTTAAATGTGTCTTACAGGCCCCAATCATCAGGGAAAGTAGAAGGAACGAACAACATCCTTACACAACATCTCACCAAATTAGTGATCCAACACAAACAAGATTGGATTAAGCTCCTCCCCATCACTTTACTCTGCATTCGCTCTACCCCTCGCAAAACCCTCTTTTATGGCCCTTTTGAAATAATGTATGGCAGGACTATTATTCTGGGCCTGGATCCATTCTAGACTACAACATGGGAAACTATTTTCCCACCCTCCAGGAAACCAGGGATGAACTTAGAAAAACAATAAAGTAGCTCTTGCCCCAATTCTCAACAACAAAAAGTCAGAGACCAATTGGCAGTTCAAGTTTTCCTCAAATCTCCTTGCCCCACAGGATACTATCCCCTCAGAGGACAGGCCTTCATGCTGTTCTCTACCCCACCCCCATGGCCATTTGCCTCTTGGACCCCCCCAGTCTGGACCCACCAATCCCAAATAAAGCTGTGTCCTAAAGAAAAACTTCCAACACTGAAAAACCCCTACTGGGAATTCCAAGTACTATCTCCCACCACCTTAAAACTCACCAGGCTCCCCAAACAGTCCACTTTCTCATAAATGTGTAACATTCCTCCCCAATTCTTCCCTTTTCTCCCTAACTTTTCTAGAAATGCTTGGCACTCTCACACATTCAAAGCTGGGACAACCTCTTTGAAGCCTTTAAAGTTCTGTGGCTACAAGGCACTTCCCAAGACTTTCCTCCTGAGGAAATACAACTTTTCCTCTTCCTACTCCTTTTCCTTCCGGCTACCCTTCCTGTCAGTCCTGGCCCTTCTCCCCTCTCCATTGACCCTGACTGAATGCACAGGTTGTCTTGCTACCCAAACCACATATATCCATGAATACCTTAACAACTCCCATTACCACATCAACTACACCCAATTCTTACCTCGGACTCCCTCTTTCACTAGCCACACTTACATGCCGTCCAGTGTTAGGATGTTACCAAAGCCTCTGAATGTTCTTATGGAGGAAAGAGGTACTGGACCAGCAAAATAACAGGTACTGGATGCCCAAGAGGTGGAGTCGGGACTACTGTCTGCTGGACATACTTCACACATGTAGGATTGTGAGATGGAGGAGGAGTCCAGGACATAGTACAACAGCAAGAAAAAGGACAGCTCATATAAAAACTCTTCTCTTCCACTGTGACTCTCCACCCTATAAAGGATTAGACCTCACTGTCCTGCAAGACTTACAACAGCACTCCCTTATCCCCTGGCTTTTAAACACTTCCTTCTCAGCTGCCCTGAACTCTTCCTCTCTCCTCTCCCCCTCAGGATGCTGGATGTGACTTTCTTTATACCAACATCTTTTCAATCCCATACCCGTACCTGACATATATAACTCTTCCATTCCAGCAGAAAATAACACAGTTCTGTTCAGCCCCATAACCACAGGCTTTCCACCCCTAGCTTCCCCCAGTTTAACCTGTTTCAACCTTACCAGTACAGGAGACTCTGTAGACTGTATAAAATCTGATCTCTGTTCCCTCAACTCAACTTTTCCCTTGTCTAAATCCTCCTGTTCCCCTCTGGGAATATTTTTCCTCTGTGCCTCCTCCACCTATTGGTGTGTGCATGCTAACCACTTGGTCTTTGCACTCAAGTTTTCCTTACCCCCCAAGTCTCTTTTGTGAATGACTCTTCCCTAACTCAGGCCCTGATACATCCCCCTACTTCCAGACAAAAAGAGTTGCCTTTCTCTCTGTATTCCTCAGAACAGGCATAGTAGCTGGACTTAGCATGAGCATTGCAGGTATTAGCATATGAATCTGCCTTTACCACCAACTCTCTCTAGAACTCAAGTAAGATATGGAAAGAGTAGCTGACTCTTTAGTCACTCTATAATCCCAAATTAATTCTTTAGCTGTAGTAGTCCTCAAAAATCACCTAGCCTTAGATTTACTTACAGCAGAAAAAGGAGGAATATGCATTTTTCTGGGAGAAGAATGTTTTTTATTTGTCCACCAGTCAGAAATAGTTACAGGCAAAGTAAAATAACTCCAAGAACGAATCAAACAGAGACAAATAAATCTTGAATCATTTAATCCCTGGTCCTTATTCAATTCCTGGCCTCCTTGGTTGCTTCCTATTTAGAGCCACTAATTATATTTCTCATTCTCAGTTTTAGACCAGTAGTCTCCACTTCATCTCCTGATTTATTGACCAATCACCCCCCAGAAAACCTGTTCATATCCCCACCCTATGCAGATATCAACCAGTTTCACCGAAGATTCAAGAGTGTTCCTGTAAACACCACTCCCTCCCCCTTCCATTTTTTTCCTTATAGGCAGCCCATACCAACCCTCAATTCACAGGAAGCAGTCAAAGAGACACCACGCCCATCACTCCACCTCCTTGTGACAGACTAAAAAGACTGGGACGATAAGGCTGAATGCAGGGACCTGCCCAAATAGAACTGAGCACAAGTCCCACCTAGGAAGGAATGAGTGCACCAGTCCCCACCCCTAAGCCCTTACATTCCCACCCCACCTTAACCCATGTGCTGACTTCTTTTTCAAACTCAGCCCACTTGCACCCAAGTATGAATAAAGACTACATTGCCCACACAGACTCTTGTTTCCTTTTGTTAACATCTTGGAATAATCTCTCATTTTTGGTCCTAAACCTCTCACTAGCAAGGCTTGAATGGTTTCTTGCAGCCCAGCAGAAACCTGA